TCTTTTAGATTACATGCCTTTACCATCAGCTCCAACTCTCTCCCACCCCCTTCTACTTGCTACAGTTAAATCCTGCTGTCCTGTGATACCTAGCTCATAGCTTCTCTTCTAGGAAAATCTTCATCATTTCCTCCAATTTAATTTAGAGGCTCCTCCGGCACCTGCCAATGCCTCTTTCAGAGCATTGTCATCATTCTTCCTCTCTATCCACATGGTAGATGGTAAAACCTTAAGGGCAGAGACCATGATTATTAATTTTGCATCTCCTGTATACCTAGTTCAGTGCTATTTGGCCTATGAGGCATTTGCAGAATATCTGATGAACAAATGAGTGATAGCACTGTCTAACCTCCATGCCACTAGACTGTTTTTCCTGTGCCACCATGATTTTAGTGGGAGAGGGATAATTTCAATTTTTTATAGCAAAAGGGAATTCACATACACCATAGGTATTCATTAAACCTTGCAGAGTTTAAGTGTGTACTTAATGAACAACTGAGTTCAGAGAAATGGGGTTTGACTGTGAACCCCCAAATACATAAATTCCTCTCTTTTTTCCCCAAATAGAACAAAACTTGTTTTTATAAAAGATCAATAAGAGAAGTACTCAAAGTACAACTGGCCCCTTCTTAGGAAAAGGGTCATCTTCTTTACATCTGAGGCTCAAATTCCTCTTTAAAATGTGGTTCTTTGCTTGCAGAGGCAACCTATGTATACTCAAAACACACATTCAATAAACATGCTGAAAATGTAAACTCATACAATGAAAACAAATGCAGCCTATAAGTACAGTTCTGTTGTGTCGCGGTCTTAACCAATATTTATTAAGCTCATATTTTCTTTAGAATTGTATACTGCATGCAGTGAAAAAACAAAAGGAAAGAAGGAAATGGTTCTTATGCTCATAGTGGGGAGACAAGATAAGCAGAGCCTTCAAACACACAAGAAAAAAGCAGCCCATATGTATAAGTCATTGATTTCCTTGTCCAAAGGTCACCTAGAGTAGAGGAATGTAGGTGAAGGGAGAACACGCTGCGGTTTGAGGCTAGTAAGGGCCAGGTGTAAGGTGTTAGTGAAACTTACAGAGAAAGAAGGGAGGGGGCAGTGTTTATTTGAGGAGAGATCATGTGAGTAGTGAGACATTATATTTCTAAGATATTTGGCTGGGTGGGGAAACTGACCTTAGAATTTAAGAATTCAATGATTTGTTTGCTTTCATTGCTGGAGATGGAACGCAGCACCATCATACATGCTAGGTCTGTGCTCTACCCTATTTGCAGCCCCAATGATATTTTTTGACTCAAATTAAGTACTATAAAATACACGAGTGTGGTACCCTCCCAGCTTCCACAGATTTTCATTGAAACAGAACAGGGGCAGCTCCTGTATCAGTCATTCAGCTTTGGCTCCTGAGGATACAAACCTTCCATTTAATGCAAAAGAAATCTTTAAAGTAATTTGTGGTTGTGATGTTATCGTACATAGGAAAAAAACATCTCTGATTCCTGATTGCTGTCAGTCTTGAGTCTGGAGGATCTCTTGGAGGAGAAAGCAACCCCACATGTATATCCACACCCTCATGTTCAGATAGAAATTGTACATGGCAAACTGCAGGGGAAGGAAGATTGCTAAATTCATTGGTGAAAACAGATTTGTGATGAAAAAGAAATGCATCCTACCGACTGTTCAGAGCATGCAGATAAACACTTGTTTCTGCCCTTTCTCCCCTAGAATCCACATTTCAGTGCAGATCCCACACCAGGATGGAATGCTGCCTCTTATCTCCACCATGCCATTGCACAACTTGCATTTTCTATTATCTGAGTCCATCTACAGACACCAGCATGTCTGCTCCAATTTAGTCACCACCCACGACCTGAAAGGCATCTCAGGTGAGGGATGAGCTGGGTACCGGTTTTCCCATACATCCTGTGCAGTGACTTTTGGGGGGTGTGGCTAAATGGGGAAAATCTCTGCTTTATATGCTTTCCTGACCTCAAAATATGCAGATAATTTTTCCTTCTTAGCAAGCATCCAACATAGGAACAATAAAGTGAATACGAAAGAATAAGGACTTTGAAGTCAGATTGATTTAGATTCCAATCCTTATCCCACTACCTATGCAACTGAACAGCGATAGCTTGACCTCTCTGAGCTGCTGTTTTCTTATTTATAGCATGAGGGTAAATATTGCTACTAATCTAGGTGAGGATTAAATGTGTTGACATGTTTAAAGTGCCTACTGTGGAAAATTTTAGTCCCTTCCCTCCCCTCTAGGGAGCATTTTTGGGTCTCTGCTCTAAAATTCCAGGATAGCAGCCTCTTTGGAAAGCTGAAGTGCAGGTGTTAGATGTTTAAGGATGAATTCTCGAGAAGCAGGAGCTGAGAAGTTTGGGGTGTGAGGCGTTTTTTTTAGGGCTCAGCACCTATCTAAAGGAAGGAGAGGAAATAGGACTGGGTAGAGGGAGAAGTCAAACTCCCCTGCAGGCCCACAGAGCAAGAAACTCTGGAGAGATTTGTCCTACTTCCAGCCCAAAAGGCCAGACCTTCATAGCCCACCTCATTTGGTCACTGGATGTAGGCTTCCCAGAAAGTCATGACCTTGGACTGAGCTATTCTGCAGCTGTCACCATCCTGAAGGAGCTGAGAGTAAGGCAGTGGGCACATCTCTGTGTTCACCACAGCAGACATTTGACTTTACAAAGAGTCCCGTCTTTTTCCATTTACCTTAGCAAGTGCACGTTAAAAGCACATTTCCTCCCTCACAACTAGTGAATCATTTAACAGTGTTTTTGAAGACAGAAATGCATTCATATGCTCTTTCATATTCATTAAACATCATTCTGGGTAGTGATGGTCTTTATTCAGTAGAATTAGTTGAGGGCAGAATATTCTTAAATCATTGAGCTACACATCAAAGTTAAATTGGTTCCCATAAGCTGCTAGTGGGGGAAACATAACCGTGTTTAAACACTGAAACTTTGCACCTCTTCCTGTCTGAAAACCATTGGATTCAACACAGGCCAATTGAGTCCCTTTTCTTTGTGGGACAAAAGCTGATTGCTGGTGTCAGGCATTCTAAGAGATACATTAACTCTTTTAAAATTCTATCATCACTTTTAGTACTATAAAAATTTTAAATTCAATGTGCTAAAAATTGTATCTGTATTCAGCTCTGTGCTGCATAAAGGTCTGTTTTAATTCAGAATAGTTCGCTTGCTTGGCAGCTTTTGATCCAACAATTTTTGCCTGTAGCAGGTGAGGTTTAGTCAAGCATCATTAGCCAGCTATTTACTCATTAAGACATTTTTCCCCAAAGTTCAGAAACCATAGAGGGAGCGAGAAGAGAGAGTCTGATGTTGGTTTGCTGGCTTTCCAAAAAAGCTGTTCTTTAAATTGGTCTTCAGAAATAGTAATTGGTCAGTGAATGATCCATGAAGTAAATCCATTTCTTTTTTTCTTTTTTGGTACTGGGAATTGAACCCAGGGGTGCTTAACCACTGAGCCACATCCCTAGCCCTTTTTTGTATTTTATTTTGAGACAAGATCTCACTGAGTTGCTTAGGGTCTCACTAAGTTACTGAGGCTGGCTTTGAACTCACAATCCTCCTGCCTCAGCCTCCTAAGCCACTGGGATTAGGTGTGTACCACCGCACCCAGCTAATAAATGCAATTCTTCAAGACTGATTGTGAAGTAGGTAAAACAGAACCACACTGGCAAGGTGTACAGGTGAAGCTACAGTGTGTTTCTTTTCTGAGATCTATCTTCTTCATTTATGGTATCATTTGTCCACCTTTTCCTCCCTGGTACCTGGACTCTGTGTAACACCTGGCAATGGGCAGTGATGCTCTTTACAAGCTCTTCTCACATACTCTGAATTGGGAGCTCTGGGTTGCTCTATTGATAGTCAAATGAGAAAAAAGCTCTCTCCGTGTCAAAAATGAGTCTCTTCTCCCTATCCAGCTTCTAGGCATCCTCAAGCTGAGTTACCATTCCTTGTCCCTTCCCTCTCTGACAGAGGCAGGCTTCCTGGATGATGTGGTCTATGACAGCACTGCCCTGGGTCCTGGATATGACCGCCCCTTCCAGTTTGACCCCAGTGTGCGGGAGCCAAAGACCATCCAGCTATACAAACACCTGAATCTGAAGAGCTGTGTGTGGACCTTTGATGCATATTATGACATGACGGAGCTCATTGACGTCTGCGGGGGCTCTGTAACTGCTGACTTCCAGGTGGGTGTTCTGGGAGCTCCCTTTCAAGGGCTACATGCGCATAGGTGCCGGTACCAACCCTGTTCATTCCTGGAGGACTTCAAGTGGCACTTTGCTTCCAGAACTGGGCCAACCCACTGAGGGTGCTTCTTTATAAGTCTCTCAAGCAAGATCTTGGCAACATTGTGGCTAAACCCCAATGTCCTGTAAATTAAGTTAAAGGGCAGGTGGGTTATTGTTTGGCATAGTTATTTACATAAAAATTTAATATTTACTTCTCTGGGTATTTTTGTTTTTCCCTCTGTATATTTTGTAAAGTTGAAAAGATCTACATTTGATAGCAAGGTTATCACCACATAGATGTATTCTCCTCCCCACTTGGGGCAGTGAGTCAGAAAGGCAGGTATACCTACCCCGACTTTCAGAAGACAAGAACAACACTGTTGGCCCAAGCACTGAGGAGAGAGAACGGTTGGAAACACCCATTCCATACCTATTTCAAACTAACAACCCCTGTGGGATGAAGAGGGAGAGAGAACACAAATAAACATTAGTGACAACTGGAGATTTTATAGCAAAAAGCCAGAGTCATAGAAGAGCAAGGCAGTTGTATCAAAGGGCAGAGAAACTAGGCTCATCCATCCTCATGGGAAAATAAATTCTAAAACAGTTTTCATCCCATTTTGAGCACTTATCTCAAAGAGACAAAAATTAGCTAGGTGTTTGTTCTTTATTTCAAATCAGGTTTAACCTCACTGAAGGAAGGAACCTGGGGAGAACGTAATCATTTGGGGAAAGTATCTTTGATTAAATTTTGTTGTGTTCTTTGCAGTATCTCTGTCCCCATTCCTCTTGTTTTGTATACACTACTGCCCTCTACTGAATACAATTTTAAGACTGTCTTGGGTTTTTGTTTCTATTTCTGCAGTTGCATAACCTACGGTTGCTGGAAATTGCAGAAATGATTGTTCCTCTCCTGGAACAATCAAAAAATAGTACTCTCTGTTCTCCGTTATTTTGTTTTGATTATACATTTAGATTTTTTCAGAATATGTTTCAAAACTCCAAAGACAAGGATTTTGTATTAATTTTGCCCCACTTTTTAAATTGACACAGAAAAAATATGTACACAGAAGTATTTCGTTGTTGTTGGTTTCTTTAAAAATTATTGGAATTGCTGAAATGTCATAGAAAAATATAGAATCCAGAACCATTCCTAGTTTATATCTTTCTCTATCAAATATTAGCAGAATTGGATGAAATAAAACTTCTTGGAGCCCCCTCTGAAATTCTGACTCTAACTCAACATGCGAAAGTACCTAGCACAGTATCTAGAATAAAATCCGTCTGTAGCAAACAGTTGTCAGGGGATTTTTACTTTTTAAATTTGAAGTCTAAAAGAGAATGAGAGAGAAACAAAGAGGGGAAAATAAATTTTTCCAACCACCTAAAGGATTGGTAAGGTTCTAATATGAACAATTATGGGGTTGGGGCAGGTGTATTTAGCAAAAGCTGTGTTTTAATGGATAGATGTGGCATAAAATCCAGATAAAATCTGGAAATTTTCTAAAGAAAACAGAATATGTCATGTCCAAAAGGGACATTAATTTGAATATGAAATTATAAAGTCTTTTGAAAAAGCTGACATCAAATTTTCAATCCCTGGCAACTTTGAATATGAAAAACACTTTTTAGAAAAATTAAGTTTTTAATGTCTTAAATATTGATAAAGCATTTGGTTCTTTTCCTTAATTATCCATAAAAATCCCTTTACATTGTATTTTTAAAGCTATCAGAGTCTATTTTCTTATGCATTTTGATTCATTGTACACAATTGCAGCACAACTTTTCATTTCTCTGGTTGTACATGATGTAGCATCCCACCATATGTGCAGTCATACATGTACCTAGGGTAATGATGTCCATCTTTCCTGCCTCAACCAAAGGAAATATAAGTCCCTTAATATGTTATAGTATTTGTCCAATGACAAAATAAAATTATTTTGCACCAACTAACTTAACTTTTTGTTAAAAAAATAAATTCATATTTTGGGGGAGAAATATATAAAACATTTTTTAAAATGAATAAAACAACTCCACCACTTACACACATAAACCCACTTAGCTTTACCACGAAAGCTTTTACTATTTTTTTTTGGTGATCTTTCCATCCAGTTTTGTTCATTTCATAGTAAAATAAATATCATTGGGCCAAATTAATAGCAGTAACAGGAACCCTTTTAGAAAGAAGTGTTCCCGCTGCCTTTTCAAAATTCTTTCCAACACAATTTACAGGATAGGAAATTATCAAAGCCATATACAGCTCCGAGCTGTGTGTTGTTAGCTTCCCAGATATGATCTCCAGGTCTTTGTTTCTGGAGCAGGAGGCAGGAATCCTCACTAAAACTTCCTGAGCCTGGCACTGTTCCTCCCAGGGGATGGACTTGGACCTCTTCCCGGTCATGGTTGATTCCGGCTGTCCTGCAGGTCACCTGCGAGCCATCAGCAGAGAGAGAATGCAGTGAATGGTAGAGCCAGCAGGTCCATCTCTCAGGAATAACTGTGATACTTTAAATTTTCAGCTAAGACTTCTAGCAACTAGAGAGTAGAAGTAAAGCTAATTCTCACTCTTCAGAGGTGTTTTGTTAAAAAAAAAAAAAAAAAAAAAAAAAAAAACTTTTGTTCAAAAAAGCATTGCAGATCATTCAATCTAAAGAAGCATCCTGACCATTTTCTACCCTCTTTATTTCTTTTTTGTGGTGCTGGGGATTGAACCAAGGCCTTAGTGCATGCAAGGCAAGCACTCTACCAATTGAGCTATATCCCCAGCCCTTACTTAATTTTTTTAAAAATTAAGTTCAGCTGTGGGCTCTTGATTATTATTGGATGGAGTGCATGACTGAGTGAGTGGAAATTGAACTGAGGTGATGACCACATGCCCTTTCACCTGGAGAAGCAATAAGCCTCTATGCATGCATACTGTTTCCTTGCCAGGTGAGGGACTCCGCTCAGTCCTTCCTGACGGTGCACGTGCCTCTCTATGTGTCTTACATCTATGTGACCGCCCCCAGGGGCTGGGCCTCTTTGGAGCACCACACAGAGATGGAGTTCTCCTTCTTCTATGACACAGTCCTCTGGAGAACAGGTATGCCTATGGACAGCTTCACTGTTCCTACCTCACACTCAGTAATCAAGATTAAATATGCAGTGACTGTTGATAGCAGCTCTATTCCTTACTTCCTATAGAAAGTCACAGGACTGCTGCCTGAAGTCTGGAAAATGCATATCTATGGTTCCTTAGAAAAAGCCATGTCCATATCTACTGACCCCAGAAGGGGCCCAGAATAGAGGATGGCAAGTGACAGTGGGTCCTAGACTTCCCATCAGGGATTCAGGGAGTACCTGTTCTAATAGAGTGTGATCATACTTGGCTTCACCTGGTTAAAAACAGTGTAGTTCATCTTGTTTAAGAAGTAAAGGATCTTCAAATTAGATGCAAGGAAATGGGAATATGTCAGAACCACTTGATGTGATAGGTTAAGCGACTTACTTGATTCATTTGACATCATTGGCTCCTTTGTTGATTCTCAAAAACAAAGATTTTAACAATGCTGAATTTTTAAAATGATATTCCCCTCAGGTTTGTCCCTATTTTTGCCCCTTTCCAAGGAGTCCCCCTGGGCTGGATCTGAGATGGCCCCTCTGCCAGCAGCACGCACCTCAGTCCCACTGAGTGTCCCCACTGAGTATCCCCGCTGGGGACACATACCCCTTCTCCCACCGCTATTACAAAAATGTCTCCTAAAACTGCCAGGTTCTCTCCTCCACTCATTCCAATGGGGCGTCCTTGGTTTTGTTGTTCTATTCTTTTTCTCATTTCCAGTGTCCTATACTTCAACAGGACCCCAAACCCATTTCCCCTTACTTCTACTTCTCCCATTACTCCCTCCCCCACCCCAGATAAAGCTAATGCACTTTATCTGCACACATGGGGCTTCAGGAATTTTCTTTAGGGATGGCTTTGCCTCTAGTAATTTGCTTAAGTGGCTTAAGCTCAGATCATTTGTTGACTTTATATTCTTTATGGGAAGATAATTTGATTTTCCCAATAACTTAGTCCAGATTATCCCTTGAATTTTGGCTTTGGTTTTATTGAACTTTATTTTTCTCCTTCAGTTATTCTTTTGGGGGGGTCCTTATGAACCTGCTGGGCATCATGACTGCAGTTGTCTTCTAAAGCCACAGCTTGCTCATGCCGTGTCTATACAGCTGGCCTTCTGCAAGCTTCCCTCTACTTCTCCAATGGTTTGAGTCCTAACTGTAGCCATCAGGACTAATGACTTTATTAATACTGAAAGGAAAATACAATATGAAGCAGATACACTGTAATCACTTCTTGGTTTATAAAGTTTGATGCTAAGAAATTTCAGACTTGTTATTTTCAGAGCTATGGGATGAACTCTATCTATATGTATGAAGAATCTATGTCAAAGACAGAGGAACTGTTAAAAAAAAAAAGCCAAGTGGAATGAGCTGTCATACTTTTTAATGGCAAATATTTCTCTAGAATCTATTAATTTTCTCTTGTGTCACAGTCAAATAAATACACTTAAAGATGACCATGAGATAACTTCAAAGTAGGCTGTCATTCTGAAGGTCTTCTCCAGACCATAATTTGGACATTTTATGTATGCCTGCCTAGGAATCCAGACAGACAGTGTGCTCTCTGCAAGGCTTCAGATAATAAGAATCTATATTCGAGAGGATGGCCGCCTCGTCATTGAATTCAAGACCCATGCCAAATTCAGAGGTAATATCAGTGTGGGTTTTTTAACCAGCATTTTGTTAAGGAGCAATTTGAACCTGCAGAAAAGTTGAAAAAATAGAACAACAAAAAGCAAAGTCAACAGTTGTGATCATTTTACTCTACATGTATGAACATACATAAACATACCTTATTTTGTTACTTCATTTGAAAACAAGCTGCTGTCTTCATGTCAAGTTACTGTAAATACTTTCGTAGCTATCTCCAAAGAACAAGGATGTTTTTCTTATGCAAAAGCCATTTTCACCTCCAACATATTTAACATTGATTCAATAATATTCAGTTCCTATACGTATTTCCTCTATTATCCCTCAAAAGTCTTTTCTAATTGTTTATATGTTTCTTTACATTTATTTTAAACCTGTTTGTATAAAAGGTAGGTGAATTCCATCATGCTTCATTTGTTACATTTTGGTTGTTTTCTCTCTTTAGTTTTTTTCTCTTTAATCTAGAATAATCCACCTACTTCTGTTCGTTCACAACAGTTACTGGTGTTTTAGAGAACAGAGGTGTCTTGCTAAGTAACCTTCACCTAATAGCATTTACAATTTTACAGCTGATGGAAGTCCCCTTCCATCAAGGACTTTACTGACCCTAAATGTGATTTTTATCCAATATTGATATTTCTGTTTATAAACTTCTAACCCTTTTTATGTCCAATCAATGTGTTGGCTTGAATTCAAAGCTAGGTATATTCAACATCCATAGTCACATAATGACCACCTTGTTGTATGTAAACTCCACCCCATTTTCACAAGACATATTAATATTGTTTACACCTGTACCGTATTCCATGACAGCCACCATGAGTGGGGTGATCAGCTGGGGTTAGATGCTGTGCTGTCTCAACCAATGTGTACTTGAAGGGGCAAAAGGATAAAACCTCAGTTGTTTGATAGAACAGCATGAATTCAGTTCTTAGGCTTTTAGAAGGGTTTTACCTTGAGTACAATAAAACTCACAAATCGTAAGTATGTGTGTTTTTCCTTTTGAAATAGGACAGTTTGTGATGGAGCACCACACTCTCCCAGATGTGAAATCCTTTATATTAACTCCAGACCACCTAGGAGGAATTGAATTTGACCTGCAGCTCTTGTGGAGTGCTCAGACTTTTGATTCTCCTTATCAACTCTGGAGAGCCACAAGCTCCTATAACAGGTAAGTAGATGACAGACGCTTACAGAATTGATCTGAAAAGTTTTCAGTTGCTTTCAGAAGCTTGGGACATAAGGTTTTCCTTTGATGGTTGAATTTCTATTTTAAAAGGAGCATAGAAACAACCCTCTATCAAATAAAGAAAGAAAGAAAGAAAATCAACTTCTGATGCTTAAGACAGGAAGTAATCAGTCTTATTCCAAGGGAAAGACCAGAAGAGGCCCAGGTCACTTCTACTCACATCCCACTGCCTGGAACTTAGTCTCTTGGCACTTCAAAGGGAAGCCAGAAAATGTATCCAACTAAAACATTATATCCTAAAGAAACTGTTTCAATTACCAGAACTAGTGCAAAATTTAGGATTTCTGGTTTTTAGGTCCAGATCCACCTTTATGGCCCAATGACTAGAAAATAAATAACAAGAGTTACACATGACTCCACACAACATACAGAAGAATAGGAAGTAGTGGAATATCTCATTTTTAAAAGAAGAATGGGAAAAGCAAAATTAAAACTACTGTGGAAAGGAAAAGGGGGCAAACAAGAGTCTGTCATAAATATTATCATTGTTCTTTTATAGGCCATGAAATTAAGAGGTATATCTAACATGAAAATCTTGTCCCAGTTTTATAGTTAAGAAATGGTAGATTGTCTTAATCATTTTCCTAAGGATTTCCTTAATTGTAATTCTTTATTTTATATCAGGTATTTTTATTACATCATGATTCCTATGGAATCAACATATAGTAATCTTCAGAGATGGTGCTCCCTAGGATCTCATGAGATTATCCATGTACATTGTCCCAATTTAGAGGCAGAAAACTGTCCTGCTTTAAGTTCTCAGCAGACTCCTGATTGTCCTCTGGATGGAGTCCACACCCCTGAAGCACATAAGGCCCAGCCCTCCCTGAGCCTAGTCTCAAACTCAGTCTTCGAACCACATTCAGTATCTCACCAGCCCCTGAACTCACCAGAGCATCCATACCCCCATGCCTTGGCAATCTCCTCTACCCTCCCTAGTCTTTTACTGCTGCAAAAGTCCAACTCCTCTGAGACCCAACTCAAACATTAATCCCTCTGGGACAGTTCCCTGACTGTTCAGTGCTAATAGCTTCATCCTCCTGGCCCCAGTTTGTTCCAGTTTCCACTGTATCACAGCTGATTATCATATGATGGTCCCATTGGCTGGTTCCATTTGTTCACCTGATTGCAAGCTTCCCCAGGTGAAAGGCTTGTCTCATTCACCTTAAATCCCACTGCAGGTTTTAGACAAAGTGGTTCCTACATAAGCAGCCATTAGGAACTTACCTTTGAGGTAAGGAGATAAAATATATAGATAAATAAATGGCAAAATGAAGATACCACCAATCATTCTGTACTGAATGCACTGAGAGGTACAGAACATCACAACCCTTGTTGTTCAGAGAGCAGAGGGCCCAGTGGGGGCTGGGAATTGTACAAGCCTTCATGGGGGAGGTGGGGCAAATTTGTGGTATGGGAAATGTTTCCATTTTAGAAAGGAGGTGGGAACAACAGGATTGAAGACCTGCCTCTAGGCTGTGTTTGACATATTTGCAGGGTTAATGAAGAAATTGACCTAGATTCAACATCATGTACAACTACAGAATGGGAAGTTATACTTCATGTATGTCTGATATGTCAAAATACATTCTACTGTCATGTATAACTAGAAAAAAAAATTTTTAATTAAAACATTAAAAAAATAAACTGACCTAAATAGTATAGGGAAAAAGAAGACTGAGGGCTTGGGAAACTATGCAATTTGTTTTGCATTCATTTGTTTGACCAAACATTTATCGAACTTTTACTGTGCTACAGAAAGTGTTTTGGGAACTTTGAATATAATAGTAAACAAAATAAAGATCCCTGAATCCAGGATTTACAGAAAAGTAAGAAGACACAAAAACCATAGACATAGTCCATAATCAAAGTATGGTCACTTGTCACATAACAACATAGGGACAGCAAGGTCCCATAAGATGATGCCACCTGGTGACATCATAGCCATTTAGTTCGTGTAAGTGGACTCTATGATGCTCATGCAATGTTGAATAGCCTAACGACACGTTTTTCAGAACATGTGCCTATCACTAAGTGACCTTGGACTGTATAATGTATGTCAGAAGCTGATAAGTATTATGGAAAAATAAAGCACAGAGCCAGGTAAGGGGAACTTGGAATGGGAAAAATTATAATTTTAATTAGGACATTCCCAGTGGAATTCTTCTCACAAAGAATTTTGAACAGAGACTTGAAGAAGGTGAGAGAGTTGGGTAGGCAGATGTCTGGAAATAGGATTGCTCTCATAGGTCCTGAGATGACAGCATTTACAGGAAGCCCAGGGAATAGTAGGGAGACCAGTGAGGCTGCAGGGAAGAGGTCAAGGAAAGGCTAAGAATCTATAAGGTCGAAGAGTGAGAATTAGCCCCATAAGCCAGTGTGTTGATTGAGCTGTAATGAAAGCCCCCCTGCCCTGGGGTTTGAGCAGAGGATCAGTATGGCCTGGCCTGACTTATTTTTTTTTTTTTGTAGTTGCTTTGAATTTGTATATTTATTAATTTTCTAACACAAAGGCAATAAAATATTTTCAGGGAGGAACTTATATGTCATATATCTGTCTATTCAGACATACGTACATATGCATCCACTATTATACACATTTCCTCCCCCTTCACATACTTATATTTTCTTTTCTTTTTTTTAATTAATTTATTGCATTTTGATTCACTGTACACATTGCATGTGATAGTAACCTATAATCAACAGAAATATTCAATTAGGCAGAAAAATCCATGCCTGGACCTTGCTTTTGAAAAGTCAAGCCAGCACCACCAGCAGCAGGAAAGTTGTATTTGACATCTATCACATTATAGGTGCCAATTTTCATGTAATTCGAATACAGTATATTAGGTCTCATTCTGCTAGTCTAAGCTTTGGAGGAAGGTAGGCACCCTGTAGGGAAACTGCAGGTACACAGACATTAGAGTGGGAAATAGCTTAGAAATGAAGGCTGCAAACGTTCATATGGCTTCTCAAAGTCATTCAAGCATAGCAGTAGCAAAGCCAAGCCAGGCTTAGGCTCTGTCCCAGTGCCCAGCCTGTGCCACTCCACTAAAATCATCTCAAGCTGTGTCACAAAACTTTTACTATTTTTAAATACCACATCTTTACTATCCCTTTACTAATAAACAGATAATAACAGAATGTAGCTCAGTGGTAGAGTACTTGCCTTGTGTTCATGAGGCACTGGGTTCAATCACTAGCACCAGAGAAAAGAGAACTAATAAATAGATAAATATTAAAATGTCATCAAAATGAACACAGCAAATGTTAGAACTATTCAAAGATCACTCATTACAATTAAAATCAGAATTTGCAGCAGCTCTTCATTCAATGGATGACAGCCTCCCAAGCCCCTTGAAGAATCTTCCAGAAGTTTCTGAATGTGTGACTGCTTTCTAGATGACCCGCCAGGGATAAGGCTGCTACCCAGGGAGGATTGTGGGAAATTAAATAAGTGAAGGTACAAAGGCCCCATGCCTTCGAGGCCGTGGACCTAGAGAATTCCTGTATTTTCTATAAACAAGGAGATTCCCAATGAGTATCTCCAGTGAGGAGGGATCATGCTCCTCAGTTTCACAAAGGGATGAGGCTGTAGAGTCTGGGATGGGAATCTAATGAAATGGAGTGGGGGTGTTCCACAGGACACTGCTTCTGTTAGGCCCTGGAGTGGTGTCCTGTAATCCTGAGGCATTTGCCACCTCTTCTGTAAGAGCAGCACTTGACACAGTCACATCTTAAGAGCTTTTGCATTTGAGAATGTATTGAACAGGCATCTGTGGACAGGAAACACTGAACACTTTGTCTAACAAGTTTAGTGAAATCCAAAGGCCAATTCCTTTTTGTCATCACCTGAATCTGTTAGGTTTTTATAAGCATTGTGACTTCTCATCTTTCCTCACAAAAAGAACTTGAATAAGTGAAAGTAGCTCTATTTAACACCTCTGGATAATACTTGAAAGGTTAGAATAATCCGAGTTGAGTTCCTGAAAATGGTGTTTGTAGACTTGTAAAGTTCTTAGATGCTACACACAAACACCTTCTGAACATCGGTGGATATAGTCTGGGTCTTTCTTTCTGGAACAATTAATAGTCTCTAGGTTGTTTCCCATGACCACAGTCTGCTCTGTCTGTTTCCAGGAAGGACTACTCTGGGGAGTACACCATCTACTTGATCCCTTGCACCGTGCAGCCCACCCAGCCATGGACCGACCCAGGAGAGAAGCCCTTGGCCTGCACTGCACATGCCCCAGAAAGGTAGGAAAACATGAATATGGTCAGTCCTCAAAAGTGGTTTCCTTATTTGCAAATTCTCCTACCATTCATGTTTATATGTACCCCAAATCCATACCCACCTGGCTTTTATAATCATTCGCTGACATGCAAAGATTGGAAAGAGTCCAAGTAACCAAGCACACACATCCCCAGCTGAGGCTGGGCGAGACCTCACTCTGCCTTCTGCTTTTAGCTGTCCTGTGACAAGCAAGTATCCTTTCACAGTCTAGTTAGTGCCATGTTTTTCACATTTATGTGCTTTTTGTTATGATTTCCATATTAATGGCTCCCAAGCATGGTGCTGAAGGCCATGCTGTACCCTATGGAGTGCTAGATAAGTTTTGTTCAGGTGTGAGTTACAATGCCATTGACTGTGAGTTCAATGTTAATGAATCAACAGTATGTATTGAGTAAGGGGTCTATAAACAGGAACACACATAAAACAAGCTTAAGTATTGATCAGGTGATGAAGTTTTGTGACCAGAAAGCTTATAGGGAAAACTCACCTTTCAGTTCTCCTACAAGCACTGTTTCAATGTCCACAAATTCAGTGTTTGTGGGAGACTTTCTAGAGCCTAACTACAAAAATCAACTGTCCATCCTCTCATACCCTCCTCAGCCCAGGAACTGTCTGCATTGCACATATATTCATTCATTCCACCAGTGTCCATTCAGCCTTTCTCCTGTGCTTTGCTCCAGCCTAGGCATTGAGATTATAGCAGTACATTCTAACAGCTGATTGAAAGCAACCCAAGCTCTCAGACTGTTTACAGTTCAGTACCTCCTTTCTCAGAGCAAGGGATAGAAAACATTTCTCCCACCCAATACTAACCAGGTCTGACCCTGCTTAGCTTCCAAGGATGGGTGAGATCAGGCATGCTGAGGGTGTTATGGCTATAGACTAAGAACCATTTTGGAGAGCAGATGTGCAAACGGAACCTGACATTAACATGAAGAGAAGACCATTTGGATTGTGGCTTTAAGTTAAGACTGACAATTAGCCAGTGGATTTGGCAATACTGAGTTCATTGATGAGCTGAGCCAAGAACAGTTTGGTGGACTGAGGGAGACACTGGCCTGGTTGTAGTAAATTTAAGAGAGAGAACTAAGAAAGCAGAAACAAGCAGAAATTCTGCTAAAACGACATTAGAAAAAATGGAGCAGTAACTGTTGAGATGAGAAGTCAAATAAGAAGGAGGTTTTATTCGGTTGCATTTTATGGGGGAAAGTATTTCAGGATGTTCGTTTGCTGGTAGGAGTAATCCAGTAGAAAGGAATGTTGGATGGTGCAGGGGGAGATAGCACATTGCTGAGCAAAGTCCCTGAGCAAGGGGAAGAGAGAGCCAAGACTAGAAAGACCTCTTTAGCTAGGAGCCCCGAGGATTTCTCCACAGAAGGAAGAAGACAGAGCCTGTGGATTCAGGCCAAGGGGATTAGTGATGGAGGAATGAGGATGACGAAATAGACATCTGGCATCAGTTTTGGTGAAATGAAAAGCCAGGTAGTAGCTGGAAGAGAAGAACCCTAAGGTTCCAAAAAAGAAAAAGAAGTGAACCATCCCCGAGAAGGGAGAGAAGTGAGTATTGCAAATGGCAATGGTGGAGGCAGCAGGCAGGTAGGCCGAGGCCAACAGAACTGATCTTAACTTGCCTGCTGTTGACACTGAGTAGACTGCACACCTTCATTTGAAAAAATAGTAAACACAGCCATTTCCTCCAAAAGTGTTCTTTACACTGCTTTGTGTGCCTTCCCACCCCACCCCCTTTCCTGGGTAACTTTTCTGGTCTGCTTTCTGTCACTATGGGTGAGTCTCCATTTTCTAGAACGTTATATAAGTGATGTCATACAATATGAATTTTTTCTCTGGCTTATTTCACTCAGCCTGATTATTTTGATTGATCCATGTTACTCTATATATCAGTAGTTTTAAAAAAATTATTGTTGTGTTGTATTCCATGGTGTGGATTTAGCACAATTTATCAGTTCATCAGTGGATGGATATGTGGGTTGTTTCCAGTTTGCAACTATGATAAATAAAGCTGCTATGAACATTCAGTGCAAGCCTTATATGGACATGAATTTTCTGTTTTCTTGTGTAAGTACCTCCACATGCAATGGTTGGAATGAATGGTAGGTTGTTTTTAACTTTTCAAGAAGCTGTCAGACTGTTTCCCCAAGCATTTGTCAATAGTGAATTATGTTTGTACCTTCCCACGGTGAATGTGTGAGTGTTCCAGTTCCTTTGCATCTTGGTAAAGTGGGTCAGGGAGGTCCTGCTGTGGGTGAAGAATTAATGAGTGGGAGTAAAGGAAGACAGGAACGGGGCATATACAGGTGGTGGAGAGTGAGGTATCTGAAAATGAGATTGGGGTGCTGGTGCACAGGAGGACTATGAAGAGTGGGTGGTGCAGTCAGAACAAGCTCTGTGGAGGTGAGGAAGTCAGGAACCTGAGAGGTGAGGTTTGGATGAGGTTTGGAGGAATGAGGATGACAAAATAGACATCTGGCATCAGTTTTGGTGAAATGAAAAGCTAGGTATTAGCTGGAAACTGAGAGGTGAGGTTTCTCCATGGATCTTTTTTTTCCATATGGATATCAAAATGAGCATGATGGGTGGATGGCAGGAACAAGGCTAGAGAACATCATAGTCATCTACATTAAGGGAGGCAAGGTGACCAGAAATTGGTAATTGGCTGCAATAAGGAAGAACAGAGGCAAATAACTCAACAGGATATGCTAAGGAATTTTTAACCATATGTTGCATTTTTAAATTATAAAATGTTTCAGATATTCAGAGGACCATAAATTATGGATATGTAAAATAAACATGTGTTTACTACCCACCTCAAGAAACACAGCATTACCAGTCCTATTTAATTAATTATTTATGTATACTGGGGATTGGACCCAGGAGTGCTTTATCGGTGAGCTACATCCTTAGTCCTTTTCTTACTTTTCATTCTGAGACAGGATCTTGCTGAGTTGCTGAGCCTGACCTTGAACTTGAGATCCTTCTGTCTTAGCCTCCCCAGTGGCTGTGATTACAGGCATGTGGGCATGTGCCACTGTGTACCAGTCCTTCATAAATGTCCTATCCAGTCAAACTCCCTGCCTCCTCCCACTAAGATGACCGCTAACCTGATATTTGTATTTGCAATCCCTAGTTTTGCTTTATGGCTTTACTTCATGGTCACCTGTCATGGTTTTGCATGTTTTTGAACTCTATGTAAAAGTTTCATATTGTGTGAATTCTCTCTGCTGCTATTTTTTTCTTTTCTCCATGGATCATTGTTGATTCCTTTGTGTTGATTCATGTAGCTGCCGTTTATGGCTCACTGCATTAATGTATTCATTGTAGGAATATTCTACAATTTATTTGACCGTTCTATTTAGTTTATTGTAGCAGATTCTATTACAAAAAATATTTATATATAAGTGAACAATTCCTGGTATAAATCATATAAAAAACAGTTTCTCCATGGTAGGTGCTTGGGTTTTTTAAAAGGACAGAGAAGCAATGATTTGAAAATGACAAAATGGAGCAAGAAAGGTACCAGCCCCATCTCCAAGCCCAGAGGTGTAGGTGAGGAGACGGCAGGGGGGAGAGTGTTGTGAGGATACTGATGTCCTTGCCTTACCTCAGGGAGATCATTACTTATAGATTCTCCATTCTTTCTTCCAGGCCTAACCTTGCTTTCAATTCCTTACATGACTCCATTTGTGTATCCTAGAATTATAACACACAATAAAATCAGGACTGACACAGAGAAGTCAGATTTAATTGAAAAGAATTGTGTTTCATATTGTAACTCTTTTTGTGAGGTCTATAATGCATAATAAATTATTATTTATTATAATAATCTCAGGTCTGTTATATATCCCATGTAATCAACATTAATGTTGTATACATCAGGCATTGTGGTGGATTCCAGTAGTGCAAGTATCAATGAGAAAAAATCATTTTCCCCAAGTCAGGCAAATGAGCTCTTGATATGACCAATGGTGATATCATTGCTGAAGCAGAGTTAGCTCTGGCTTGTGTGGACTTCGAGTTCTTCCTGTATCCTCTCCAGTCTACCCAATGGGACACCCTCAAAATACGAAACAGAGTAAAACAGTGAAGTGATCACTCATTCACTGTTCTTTGACAAAAACATGCATCAGGAACTTAGCATTGAGCATACATGCTGAGCCAATAGAGACCATGGAATCTGGAGTGCTGATGTAGATGTCAATCCTAGTCACACACTGAAATAAAGTTTTAAACCATGAGAAGTTCTGTGATTGAAACATGCAAAGTATATGAGAATGGATGCCAAGGGATCTAAGCTAGCCTGAAGGTAAGAGCAAGAAGGAAAACCTCCCAGAGAAGAATTCAAGTTGCCATCAAAAGGATAAGTCAGAGTAAGAGGAGAGTGTGTTCTGGCAGAATATTTAGCAAGGTCAAAGCCAGAAAACTTTAAGTTCACTATCACTAATCTCAAATTGATCTCTAGGACCACTGACCAAAATACATTATTTCCCTAACCCATCCACTCTTCCACTTTTTAAACTGTTTTATTCCTTCTCTGAACTTGCTTGCTCTCTCGCCTGTCCTTGAAATCAGCCAATTACCTTGTGCCCTGCCATGTGGTGGAAACAGAAGAAACCAGAAGAGAACTTACACAGGCTACCATCATCATATCTACCCACCTGCCTGCATCTCTGCCTGTACACCTGTTGGTACAAACAAAGGCTCTGAGTTCCTCTCCAAAGGCAGCCTCCCCTCCTCTGCTCTAGAACCTGAAGTCTCTTTCCACTTTAAAAAGAACATCTCAAGCAATTCTCTCTTCTCCATGAATCCCTCTGGTCAGCTGAAAAGCAAGTTGCAACTTCTCCCACCTTTCAAAAACAACAACAACAGTGTCTTGACATTCCATTTCTCTCTCCACGTACATTTTTCTCATTTCTTTTCCTGCAGTATGCCTCTGGAGAGTTGTCTATATCCATGATTTCCAATTAATCTCTGCCCATCATCTTTAAAACCACGCAGCCAAGCTTCTCCTGATAGCCCTCAATGCAGCTTGTTCTTATCAAGGTCAGTGATGACTGTTCCTGATCCTGGGATGGAGCCTCGCTCTTCCTTTTCAGTACCCTCAGCAGCACTTAGCCATTGAGCAACGTCTGCCCCTTGAACCTCTTTCTTCTCTCACCCGAGATATCACACTATAACTTTCTCTCAACCTTGCTGGCTCTTCCTCTGTTGCTTTGCTGGTTCTCCATCTTTTCATAGTCTGTGAACTTGGAACGCCCTCAGGATCAGGCTGGAACAGTCTCTTCTAATGGCTTTTCACTTCCTTACAGATTTTCTTTATCCTCCACTCTCGAGTGAGGTTTTCAGTACAAGCAAACATCTCCAGGGCTCACCTCTGGAGTTGACACTTGTCCATCAAACTGATTACTCAGCACCTCCACTTGGCTCTGACAGGCCTCTGAAACCTAACATGTCCAAAACATGTCTTTATCTTTCTCCACCAGATACATTCCTTTCTACAGTTTTCCATATTGGTGAAGGGTAACTCCAACCTTCCAGGTCAGAGATCAGTAAACTGCAGCCAGAGTACAATTCCAACTCTCTGCCTGCTTTGGTAAATGCAGTTTTACTTTGGAATAAGCCACGCCCCATGGTTCAGCATTGTTTTCGTGCTACAATAGAGTTGAGAAATTCTTTCCTTCCTTTCTTTATTTTATTGCACATATTTAAGATGTACAATAAGATGGTTTGATGAGATTCATGTATGTAGTGAAATGGTTACTAAATAAATGTATCTGTGTTCTCACATAGTCACCTTTCTTTGGTAATCTAAGTAAATATCCAGTGTGCAACTATATTATGACCTGTAGCCATCATGCTTTACCCTAGACACTCTCATTCTCTAACTGCAACTTTGCCTCCTTTGGCCAACATTTCACCATGTCCCACTCCTCCTCGTCCCTGGTAATTACTGTTCTCTTTTCCTGTGTATTTGGCTTTTTGAGATTCCACATATAAATTAGATCATGAAGTATTTTTCCTTCTGTATCTTATTTCACATAACATAATATTCTTCAGGCTCATCCATGTGGTCACAAATTGTGGATTCTCCTTTTTCAGGACTGAGTAGTATTTTATTGTGTATATCTTTTGTACCACATTTTCTTTATCCAAGTGTTAAGGAACACTTTAGCTATTTTTGTATCCTGGCTATTATGAACAATGCTGTAACAAACACAGGAGTGCAACTATTCTGTAGTATACTGATTCCATCTCATTTGGATATATATTCAATAGTGGGATAACTAGTTGCTTTTAATTTTTTGAAAACCATATTGTTTTCCATCATGGCTGCGCTAATTTATATCCATGACAATATTATTTAGGATTTTCATCTCAACCTTCTCCTAGCATTCCTTGTCTCTCCTAATTTTTCTCCTCATCACCTGTTACCTTCTAGCATGTTATATTATGTTTAGGCTTATTTGCAGACTACATCCTCAGGACAGTATAACTTCCCTGGCACCATATTTTCTGGTTTGTCCACAGACAAATCTCCATTATTAGATCAGTGTCTGTCATATAGAAACTAATGCCTGGTGTTTATCTGAGTGCATGACTCCTGAGGCAGTAGAGATCATAGAGAAGAGAACCAGTCATGAGCCCAAAAGAAGGCTATTCTGGCTAAATCCCAGAAAGGAGGGGAAGAAGGAGAGGAGCAGGAGATGAGGCTGGAGAAATAAGCAAAGGCCAAGGCTTTATGAGTCTTGTTAAAATGTTGTTCTTCACCCTAGAAATGGAAAGGTCATAAGCAAATATGAGTGTTTTTTTTTAAATTATAGAGTTCATTGATTGCATTGTATAAAATAGAAGGAAGTAAGAGTGACTCCAGGAAGACGAGTTTAGGAGGACTCGGACTTCACTGTGATGGGAACTCCAGAAGGAAGATCAAGTTTGTGAGAGATGAGTGGGTCGAGTTTGAGGTATCTTTGAGACAGCCAAAGCTATCAGAGAAGCAGTCAGTGGAAGGCAGATAGGTATTTCTAGAGCTCAGAAGAGAAATCGGGATTAGGGAATTAAACATGGCATCCCTACTTTTGGGATGGAAAATGGACTCAATGTCAAGGCTGGGGTGAGATTATTGACAGAGAACATCAGGGCTCCCAGGCCCCTGGTCCTGGAGGAGTTCTTACCTACCAGAAGGGGCAGAGAAGGGACCACGGAAGAAGGCCAGGGAGGTGTGTGAGTAAGAGAGTGTCTCCTAGCAATGCCCTAAAAAGTGGCACATGGAGTGAATATTGACCTGGGTGGAAGAGTAATAGAATCTCAGGCACGCCAACTGGGAAGAATTCTGGCACACACACCATGGAAGGGAGCCATCTAGCAATCAAAGAGCAACTTTGAGGGCCCTCAGAATGAAAGAGGGGGAAAAAAGCAAAGGATACCAAAGAGTTTCAAAGACTAATTAAATTTTTCCTGTTCAAAAGAACAGATCAACCTCATAAAGATCAAATAAAGTCGTTCTCCCACATATGTCTCTTTATTCGTAAATATTCAGTGCCCACAGCAAAGCTCTGTGCCCAGTCCTGAGATGGGCAGGGAAGAGAGGGCAGCTCAAATGCAAAGTTAACCCTGCTCTCAAGTGGCTCTTATTTCTCCCACATTTAGATTCCTGATACCCATTGCGTTCCAGCAGACCAACCGTCCTGTGCCCGTGGTGTATTCACTCAATACTGAATTTCAGCTCTGTAATAATGAGAAGGTGTTCCTAATGGATCCCAACACATCCGACATGTCACTGGCAGAAATGGATTACAAAGGAGCCTTTTCAAAAGGTGAGTTGCTTCCTCTTCCTGCAGAAAGAGGCTCAGTCTAAGCATGAGAAAGTTCCTGGAGTAGAATCCCTACTCTTCAGCTCTCAGTTACCTCCCCAGTGAAGATTCTCCAGGGATGATTTCAGGCCAGCCAAGGCCAAATCAAGGACCAGACTCATTCTTTCTTCATGCTATGAAATAATATCATACTCATAGTTCCTAAACGATTGACAGTGTATTACCATGGAAAAGCACTGATCTGGGTGGTAAGAAGACTGGTATTTCCAATCGCATTATAACACAATAACTCTGAGTTAAGTTGCTTTATCTGCCAAGTTTCTTAGGTTATAATATTGCCTCCACTGCTCCCAGCCTCAAAGGAATGCCACATATACTCTCTGTCATGCTTTCTCTGCTACAAATGATCCCTCAGTCCCTCACCTGCCCCCTAAACATGTTCTCT